GGGAAACATGTGGTTCACAGCCACCCAGTCTGTGGGACTTTTGTTAGAGCAGCCCGAACTGACTAAACCACACTAGGAGGCCGAAGTGGTGGTCTGGAACTCTGAGAGTACTTGCTATCTGCCCAAGAAGATCAGAGACCTAGAGATAAGCAGAAAGAGGGGCCAGCAGGCGGCGTGGTGTTTAAGGCATTGGACTCCCACGTGGCAAACTATGGTTCAAGTCCTGGACGAGGTAGCTTGAAAATCATGCCGGACATGTGTGCGTGTGTGCCAAAAATCCTGAGAGGAGAAGGGAGAAGGGATTGTGGTGTGTCCATCTCCCCCTGGGGGTAATTTATCACCTTCTCTCTCTCTCTATCTCTCTCTCTACTCTGGCAAGCACATGTGCCCTCTGACAAAAACCTAAGGATAAAGAAAAAGGAAGAAGATACCCAGGCCCCAGGTCCACCTGTGCCACGTTCCCCATCTTATTAAAAGCTGGGGTTCTTTGATCTTTTCTGTATTTGAAAACCAGTAAAATCTCTTTTTAGAAAGATGCAATTGCACATACTTCATATCATGCACACACACATATTCCTACATATACTACACATACTCTAACCACGCACCGCACATACCTCCACTAAACACACACACTGTACGTCACGCGCACAACAAACTCCACACATCACACACGGAACCCCTCACTCTACATCCCTACTGCACACATCACACGTGAAACACATGCTACACACAACACATGCACCCACCACACACCCGCACACACACAGAGGCTCGCCCTCCCCACAGTTTCAGAGGGCTCCCAGAGACCCTGAGGCTCACTCAGACTCCAGGACCCCAACACCTTTCTAGTCCCCTTCTCTGGCCACTTCAATTCTGCAAATCTCTGGACGCTCCTGGGGAACCCCTCAGCTCTGGCAGGAAAGAGTCAGCTGCCCAAGGACGTATCAAAGGCCTTCCCAAGATGTGAGTTCAGTCCTCATTTGTCACTGACCAGTCACGTCTGTCCTCAGTCTTCTCATCCAGAACCTGGGACAACTCCTCTCCAGAGCGTCGTGTGAGGGTCACACGAAATGGACGGTGCCTGAGCCTGTCGGGCACTAGTTCTGGAGAAAGCTGTCCGTGGACTGACCTTCTACACCTTCACGTAGGTTAACTCATTTACCCCTTCGCGAGCTAGCTAGGCTTAGTATCACCATCTCACAGCTGGGAAAACGGAGGCACAGAGAGGTTAAGAAGCTGCCTGGGGACCAGCAGTTAGCGTAATGGCTATGTCACTGGACTCCCATGTAGTCGATCACAGTTCGAGTCCCGGACCTGGTGGCTTAAATTCACGCCGGGCACGTGTGCGTGCGTGCCCAAGATCCCGAGAGAGAATGGAGGAGAAGGGATTGCAGTGTGGCCATCCCCCCTGGGGGGTGATTTCTCGCTTTCTGACTCTCTGTCTCTCTCTGTCTCTCTGGCAAGCACACGCACCCTATAGCAAAAAACTCTCCCACCCCCCCAAAAGAAGCAGCAGCTGCCTGCGATCACACGGTTAAGTGGCACAGCTGGAGTTCAGACTCAGGCAGTTCGGAACACCTCGCAAGCTTCTAACTACTGCACTGGACTTCCTCAGGCGGGTTGGTTCCTGTTTCCTCCCCTGGCTGACTCCTTCCTTCCTGGGTGTCCCCGTGGTGGCCTATCACAGCAGTTACCCTCTGCACCACAGGTACGCTTGGGCCCGGAGCTGGGGACTGGGGCACAGGACTGAGCAGGGGTGGGGCAGATAGCAAAGCAGTGAAGACGGGGCGCTCTGGGGGCTCCGGGACCAACAGCTTGCCTGCCGGCTCAGCACTTTCTATTGGGTTGTCGTAAAAGTCATGACGAACTTTTTCTATGTTTTTCTATGCAAAAATGCACCATGACTTTTCCGACACCCCAAGAGCTGTGCTCAGGCAAATCAGTTTATTACTCTGAGCCTCGGCATCCTCATCTGTGGATGGGATAAGCGACATTTTCACCTGGGTTGTTGGGAAGATAAAATTGGCCAAAATGCTTAAAGAGCTGAGCGTTGCTGTCCCTGCGCTGGTGGCCGAGGCCTGCAGGAAGGTGGAGAGTCGGGCGGCAACCCCTGCTCAGCTCTGCGGAGTCTCAGACCAGCCTTTCTGACCTGAGCGCCGCTGGCGGGCCTGACCTCCCGCCCCAGCACACGGGCCCGGCCCTCACTTCTGCCGTCATCTTGGCGATGAGCCCGGCGGCGATGGCCCCGCTGAGCACCTTCCGCCGGAGGCCGGGGTTCCTGGGGTCCTTGAGGTTGCTGATCCGGCTGCGCACGCGGTTGCGGTACTTCATGTCGGTGCTCGAGAGCTCCTGGTAGATATGTGATGAGGTTAAGGCCCAGCACGTGCAGGGGCACAGGGGGGGAGCCTCACCCGGGAGCCTGAGCCCTCGGCCAGCGTCCCCTCCCCTTTGACCTCTACAGGGGTCGGGGGCTCGGGTGGCCTCTGACTCCCCAAGTGGAGGGTCTCACTCAAGCGTTTGAGGGTCAGCCAAGAATCAGAGGCAGGAAGCAGCCTCCGGGGTGAGATCGGACTGTGGCAAGCACTACGGTGTCGGGGACCGGGGACAGGCGCCCCGGGTTACAACACGGCTGTAACGGCGCTGGGCGAGGCTGCGGGCGCACTGGGCGGTGTCTGGACGCAGCGAGCGCTCCACATTTGCAGGCCGGGACAGGGACGCCGGCGAAGAGGAGGTCTCTAGTCTGGAGGGGACACCGGTGAAGAGGAGGTCTCTAGTCTGGAGGGCCCCCCATGGTTTTGACAGGAAAAGATTAAGGACCGCATGTGTGAGGCGCTGAGAAGCACCACGACAGATCCCTGCTCTCTTTAACCTGGTGTCCCCAGCCAGGGTCCCGTGTTGCTCCCTCCCTCGTAACCCCCGGGGAACTGCTGCTCAGACCCACCTCCGCCATCAACACATGAGGAGGCTGAGGCTTGGAAAGGGTCTGGGCCCCTGCTCAAGGTCACAGGGCAAATTCCCGGCAGGCAGGGCTGGGAGCCAGACCCCCTTCTAACCGGAATGCCTTCTCCAGTCACCCGGCAGGAAGTCGCCCCTGGCCACCGACCACGATGAGTCTCTGTCCAGACAGCATCCCAGACTGGCCTCCCTGGCTCCCAGGCTGCCGCGCTGCACACCCGCTCCGCCGCCTGAGCCCAGCTGAGGAGGAAGGCAGAGCTGCTGCCTGGAAAACCCTAGCAGAGGGAGACGGTGGGAACGTGGAGGTGGAAGCAGCTGACTTGCTCCAAGTGCTGGGAGGACCCGCGGCATTGTCTTTTTCTCTGTGACGGTTGTTTTCATGTGGCTTGTACGGCCAAAGTACAAACAGGGAAAGAAGAACTTGCCACAGTGCACTCGAAAACCAAAACATGTTTAAGAACCTGCCAATCGTGATTCTGGGACTGTGTATCTGGTGACACGTGGGGACAGCAGGGCTGTCACTTTCACCAGCCTCTTCCTGATTCCTTCTCTGTTTCCCAGAAACCACAGGAGAGGACGAGGTGGAGAGAAGACCCAGGGCCACTGACCCCTGAAAGTGTGTCCCACGGCTACCAGGTCAGTCCAGGGCGCCTCTCGAGAATAGGGCTGTATTTATTTATTATTTTTAGGTTTCTGTTACCGGTTGTGTGTGCTTGCCAGAGACAGGGAAAGTGAGAAACTACTCCCTGGAGGGATGGCCATACTGCAATCCCTTTTCCTCCATCCTCTGGATTTGGGGCATGCATGCATGCACACTCAGAGTGATTTTCAAGTCACTGGATCTACAAACAGGGAAAGAAGAACTTGCCACAGTGCACTCCACAACCAAAACATGTTTAAGAACCTGCCAATCGTGATTCTGGGACTGTGTATCTGGTGACACGTGGGGACAGCAGGGCTGTCACTTTCACCAGCCTCTTCCTGATTCCTTCTCTGTTTCCCAGAAACCACAGGAGAGGACGAGGTGGAGAGAAGACCCAGGGCCACTGACCCCTGAAAGTGTGTCCCACGGCTACCAGGTCAGTCCAGGGCGCCTCTCGAGAATAGGGCTGTATTTATTTATTATTTTTAGGTTTCTGTTACCGGTTGTGTGTGCTTGCCAGAGACAGGGAAAGTGAGAAACTACTCCCTGGAGGGATGGCCATACTGCAATCCCTTTTCCTCCATCCTCTGGATTTGGGGCATGCATGCATGCACACTCAGAGTGATTTTCAAGTCACTGGATCTGGGACTTGAACTGTGGCAGGCCATGTGGGAGACCAGTGCCTTAACAACCATGAGGATAGAGCTTTTTTTGGACACAAGGCACGGAAGCCCTCCAACTCCTATTGAACTTCCTCCTGATACCCCAGCAGCTAAGACCAAAGAGCAAAGGCGCTTGGTGCAGCTTGTTTTCCTCTCCTTTAGAAGAGGGATGTTCAGAGGAAGAAGTGAAGGAAGAGGAAAGGCCAGGGGTGGATTCTGAAACAGGATGATCTACTTGTGCTTCAAACTGGGCTTGAGAGTGGAAGGGACCCGCAGTCAGGATGACTGTTCTGCAAAAACAACGAAGAGACTCCTGACAGTGCTGATACTTCTGCTCTGCGTTCCTGAAGTAACAGGAAAATGAAAACGCGCTGGCGAGGGGCCAGTGGCTGGAGACTTGCTGAGGATGCGGGCTAAGAATTAAATAATGGGGGAGTTGGCACGGGGATTGAGGCGCTGGACTCCCACGTGGCCGACCACAGTTAGTCCCAGATCTGTAGGCTTGTTTTCTCACTTTCTCTCTCTGTTTCTCCCTGGTGAGCAAATTAATAATAATAAGTGGAGCCAGCAGGTGGTGTGGTGGCTAAGGCACTGGACTCACAAGCGGCTGACCACAGTTCAAGTCTTGAACCTGGTGGCTTGAAATTCACGCTGGGCGCGTGTGCGTGCGTGCCAAGATCCCAGGAAGAGAATGGAGGAGAAGGGATTGTGGCATGGCCATCTCCCCTGGGAGTGATTTCTTACTTTCTCTCTCTCTGTCTCCAGTGAGTGCACATGCCCTATAGCCAACATCTCTCTCTCTAAAAAAAAAAAATAATAATAATAATGGTAAATAAAATTGAATAATAATTTTAAAAAGAATTGAAGATGGGAGAGGGAAATCACCAAAAATGTGTTGGCGGATCTAAGGGCGGGGCCATCGTCAGAGGAAAGGAATGGGGAAGGGCTGAGCTCCAGCACTGCTCCAGCACTGCTCCAGGAGGTAACGGCAGGGCCGCTGAGGCACCGTGTGACATGGCCTGCCTGATGCCGGCCTCAGGCTGAGCCCTCGGGTTTCAGATCACACTTTCTGGGTCGAATCCTAACTCCGCCACGCGCAGGAGCTGTACCGGCCTTGGCCAGTGACTTTCCCTCTCTGAGCCTCAGTTACCTCACCCACAAAACCAGGTCAGCCAGGAACCGACCCGGCGGGCTTGTCCTCAGCACTGACTGCGCTTCTGCCGCATTGCTCCTAGATGTTAGCTAAATGAGCCTCCAGTCAGGGGCAGGACAGGGGGCGGTCCAGGCAGCCAGGGCCCCTGCACGGTTCAAGGATATGATCTTCGATTTCGGATGCCATCTTGTCACAGTTGACCCCGTAGTCCTTGTAATCATCTGAGAGAGTCAGGAAATGCAGCCCTCAGTCGGATGCGACCTCGGCAGCGAGGCCTGCTGGTACCAGGGACCGCGGCGTTCATGCACCACCTCAGGGTGCTGAGAAAGAACGACTCTCGCCCGCCCTTGGCATCCCCTCCCTCTCCTCCACCCTGGCTCAGGCCCTCTCACCTTCTGCCTTCAGGGCCGCTGACAGCATCTCCACACACTTGTCCCGGACAGAATCCCCGGTGAGATAGCAGGGGGCCAGGAGGCAGAGGGAGGGGGCAAACGTGGGGGTCAAGGGGCTGCTGGGTGTTCTGGGGCTCTCTGCTTTCGATTTGCTGCTGTTGGATCTGAGGATGACAATCAGCAATAGACATTCCGACATTCATTGAAAAATGCACTTATGGGAACCAGCAGTTAGCATAATGATTTCACCGCTGCACTCCCATGTAGTCGACTGCGGTTCGCGTCTCGGACCCGGTGGCTTAAAACTCATGCCGGGTGCGTGTGCGTGTGTGCCCAAGATCCCGAGAGGAGAACGGAGGAGAAGGGATTGTGGCGTGGCCATCCCCACTGGGAGGGTGATTTCTCGCTTTCTGTCTCTCTGTCTCTCTCTGTCTGGTGAGCAAGTGTGCCCTATAGCAAAAACCTCTCAAAAAAATAAAAATAAAAAAACTCACACTGTGCACGTGTGTGTGCATTCCTAAAATCCCAAGAGGAGAATGGAGGAGAAGGGATTGCAGCATGGCCATCCTTTCTGGGGGTGATTTCTCACGATCTGTCTCTCTGTCTCTGTCTGTCTCTCCAGTGAGCACATGTGGCCTACAGCAAAAATCTCTCTAACAAAAATAAAGGAAAAGGAAAAAGAAGAAACAGGCACTTGTGGAACACCGTCCTAGACACCGCTTCCTCGTAGCGGCCCTGCGAGGCACGTACCATTCCGGGCACTTGTTGATGATCATCTCTCTCTCTCTCTCTCTTTTTTTTTTTTTTTTTTTTAAGGAGAGATTTTTGCAATAGGGCGCATGTGCTTGCCAGGGAGACAGAGAGAGACAGAGAGACAGACAGTGAAAAATCACCCCCCAGGGTGGATGGCCGTTCTACAACCCCTTCTCCTCCATTCTCCTCTTGGGATTTGGGGCATGCATGCGCATGTGCCCAGCATGAGTTTTAAGTGCCGGGTCCAGGACTCAAACTGTGGTCGATTATGTGAAGTCCAGTGACATAACCATTATGCAACCTGCTGGTCCCAGATCATCTTATTTTTTCTTTTTTTAAAGAATTATTTTATTTTATCTTTTTTTTTTTTTTTAATTTTAACTTGACCAGAGAAGAACAGAGAGAGAGAGAAAGAGAGAGAGTGAGAAAGCAAGCTGCTAGATCAGCCATGTGGGAGTCCAGCGTCCTTAACCACCATGCCACCTGCCAGCCCCCTGAATCATCTCATTTAATCTTCATAACGACTCCATGAGGTCTATGCTATTCTTATCCTTATTTTATTTTTTCTATTTATTTATTTTTTTTATTTTAGGGTTTATTTATTTATTTATTTATTGCCACAGGACATGTGCATTCACCAGAGAGAGACAGAGAGGCAAAGTGAGAAATCACACCCTAGGGTGATGACCACACCATGATCCCTTCTCCTCCATTCTCCTCTGGGGATCTTGGGCACACACGCACACACACTCAGTGTGAGTTTCAAGCTATCAGATCCAGGACTTGAACTATGGTTGACCATGTGAGAATCCAGTGCCTTAACTACCACGCCACTTGCTGTCCCCCTTATCCCCATTTTAAAGGTGTATTTTAGAGAAAGATACATTTAAAGATGGCCTTGCCTCAGTCCATACGTCTGGAACCAGCAGAAACAGAGTTCAAGCCCAGGCAGTTGCACGCCGGTACCCATGCCCTTAACCAGTCACCGTGTTCTGCATGTCGTCGAGCGGCTTTATCAGGGCCAGCTCCATGGACGTGCTGCTCAGGAGAAGTCAGATTCCGCATGGGGACTGTGGCTGGAATGCCCACCCAGTCAGCCTGATTCACACTGGGCACGTGCGTGAGTGACCAGGGTCTGCACTGGAGACCGGAGGGAGTGCAGCCTGACGGGAGGCCATGGGGGTGCCCTCTCCTTCTCTCTCTCATGTGCACACACATGCTCTAGCATGAATAAAGAAACTTCATAATGAAAATGGAACAGTGTTGGGGCCAGCAGGTGGCGCAGCAAAGGTGCTGGGTTTCCACATGGCTGATTGTGGTTCAAGTCCCAGACCAGGCGACTTGAAAATCATGCCAGGAGTGCATGCATGTGTGCCCCAAATCCTGAATGGAGACCAGAGGAGAAGGGATTGAGACATGGCCATCCCTCTGGAGGACAATTTCTCACTTTCCCTCTCACTGTCTCGCTCAGTCTCTCTCCAGTTAGTGCATGCACCTGGTGGCAAAAACCTTAAAAAAAAAAAGTAAAAGAAAAAAAGAACAGTGTAACAGCACCAACATACTACAACTTATTATGCACTGTGCCCGCTGCTCTCTCAATAAAGTCTTCGAAACCTCCATGGAAAATGAATATTATGAGAAAAATCATGCATAGATTTCAAATTTTTTGCAACAAAAATAAACTTCTGGTTTTATGATATTTTCCCACGAACTATTTGAAGTCCCCTCACATGCGCTCAGTTAACATATAAACTATCGTATTCACCCGTCAGTAAATGTCTACGAGGCACCGATTCCCCAGGCAATGGGCCAAGGATGCAGGCTAAAGCAGACAGCCCAGGAAAGGTCCCTCCCTCCAGGGCTGACGGTTTAGGGAACAGAGACTATTCACCATGATTTAGGAGGGCTGGGTTTTACGAGGTGCCAGGACTGTGCCAGGCACATTCTGCTCCCTGAGGAGAGAGACAGAGACAATGAGATGAAGTAAAAAATCACCTCCCAGGGGAGATGGCCACACCGCAATCCCTTCTCCATTCTCCTCCAAGGATCTTGGGCATACATGCATATGTGTCCGGCATGATTTTCAAGTCACCGGGTCTGGGACTCAAGTTGCAGTCAACCATGTGGGAGTCCAGCAATGTAACCACCATGCCATCTGCTGGTCGTCTGAACATTTTCTAATTCAATCTTTTTTTTCTTAAAGAATTCTTTACTTAATTATTTATTTATTCATTCATTTATTTTAATTTGACCAGAGAGAAACAGAGAGAGAAAATGAGAAAGCAAGCCACCAGGTCCAAGACTGGAGCTGTTATCCCCCCGCGGGGGGTGGGGGTGACTTCTCACACACTCTCTCCCTTTCTGTAGCTCTTTCTAGCTACTCACATACCCTGTGGCAAAAACTAAACCACTTAAGTAAATGAATACACAGATACACTCATATATGCATATATAAACAGAAGATTGGAAAAATAACCGTGTGTCTTAGCTTGGGCAGCCATAATAAAATACCATGGACTGAGTGGATTAAAACACACAAATTTGTTTCTAGAGTTCTGAGACTGGAGAGCCCAAGATCAGGTGCTGGTCCATTTGGCTTACCATGAGGGTTTACAAATGCCTGCCTTCTCACTGTCCTCACACTGCCAGAGACCACCCGGTGCCTCTTCTTAGGAACTAGCCTACGGGGCCAGGCTCCACCCTCTGACTTAGCGTAACCCTGACGACCTCCATAAAGGCCTCGCTCCGCACAGTCATATTATGGGTAGGACTTCAACATATGAACTTGGGGTCACAAACATGCAGTCCCACGCCCACATCCATAGCAATTCTCTCTCTGACCACTTCTTGGCCTTTTGCCTAAGCTCAAGTGCAATTCTCTCTCTGAGGTGAGAGTATAGGAGATTTTACTTTTCTCCTTTAGCTTATGCATATTTTTTAAAGATTTATTTATTTATTTATTTCCTTTTTTTTTTTTTTTATTTGACCAAAGAAGGCAAGCCATTAGGTCTGGGACTCGAACCATGGTTGGCCATGTGGGAATCCAGTGTCTTTAACCACCACGCCACCTACCAGCCCCACTTATGTATATCTTCTAAATCTCCAGGAAGACTTTATCAACTTTGTAAGGAAAAACATTTTGTTTATTTTTATATTTTTTAAAATTAATTAATTAATTAATTATTATTCAATTTGATGAGAGAGAGAGAGAAAGCAAGCCACCCAGTCTGGGACTTGAACCACCATTGGCCATGTGGGAGTTCAGTACCTCAACCACCACGCCCACCTGCTGGCCCCTATTTACTTTTTGAGCTATTCAACAATCCTGAGTGGTCACTCTGCCGATGGCTCAGACAGGCTCCTGTCCTCCTGCCAGGGAGCTGCCAGCAGAGTGAAGCAGCCCCTGTGTCCACCGATGGATGAATGGGCACACGACGTGCTATGTATGTACAATGGGTTCTTAGTTTTCATATTTTTGCCAGAGGGCACGTGCACTTTCTGGAGAGAGACGGGGGGAGGGGGGCAAATAATAAAGCTTCCCGTGTGCAATGGTCACACCACAATCCCTTCTCCTCCATCTCTCTGTTTTCTTGGGATTTGGGGCACACACACACATGCATGCCCGGTATGTTTCTCAAGCCAGCAGGTCCTGCACTCAAACCATGTAACTGGGCCGGAGGGATCCAGTTGCCTTAACTACCATGTCATACAATGGATTATTATCCAGCTATAAAAAGGGATGAAATTCTGACATATGCGACAATGTGAATGAACTCTGAAAACATTGTGGACAAAGATGGCACAATTCCACTTGTAGGCAGTACCGATAATAGTCAGATCGCAGAGACGGAAAGTAGAACGGTGGTTGCTGGGGACTGGGAGGAGGGGGAATGTTGAATTATGGATGATAACAGTTTCACAATATAAATGCACTTTTTTTTTTGAGAGGTTTTTGCTATAGGGCGCGTGTGCTCGCCAAACAGACAGAGAGAGACAGAGAGATAGAAAGCAAGAAATCACCCCCCAGGGGGGATGGCCATGCCGCAATCCCTTCTCCTCCATTCTCCTCTCGGGATCTTGGGCATGCACGCACACACGCCCGACATGAGTTTAAGCCACTGAGTCCGGGACACGAACCGCGGTCAACTACGTGGGAGTCCATTGACATTGCCATTATGCTAACTGCTGGTCCCACAATATAAATGTACTTAATGTACTGAACTATCCTCTTTAAAATGGCTAAAATGGGTAAATTTTATTTGATTTTGGAGGTATATTTCTTCTCTTTTTTCTTTTCCCTTTCCTTTCCTTTTCTTTTTTTTTCAAGAGTTGTTTTGGGGCTGGCAGGTGGTGTAGTGGTTAAAGGCTCTGGATTCCCGCATGGTCAAACCAGTTTAGGTCCTGGCGGCTT